TATACCACAGCTACTCTATCCATTCGTTTGTTGATGGGCCCTTAGGCTGCTTCCAACTCTTTGCTATTGTAAACAAAATTGCAATAAACATGGGTTAGAAAGATTTTTTTTTAAATTTTATTATTTTTTGGGGGGTTAGAAAGATTTTTATAGATGGTTGTGTGTGTGTGTGTGTGTGTGTGTGTTTCTACAAAGATATTTACATTTAAATTAATTGACTCTAAGTAATGAGGAAAGCTCCCAGATAGTGTATAGACCTCATCCCTGTCAGTTTAAGACCGTAAAAGAAAGCAACTGAGTTTCCTTAAAGAAAAACATTTTGCCTCAAGATAATCAGCGTCTTACTGGAACTTATTTTGGTTTAGAAGACTGTTATAATTTCCAGCTATCATCTGACCTATGATTTTAGATTTGCCAGCTCCCACAGTTAAGATTACAAATTCCTTTAATAAGTCTATCAGTATCTCTTTCCCTCTCTTTATTTATCTCTTTCTCATTGGCTCTGTTCGTCTGTTGTTGTTTCCATCGAATTGGGAATAATTGATATTTGACTCTCCAGTGGATTTTCAGGAGCAATAAATTGCACAGGAATTGACTGCCTATCTTTTCCCATGGAGCAGCTGACTGATTTGAACTGTGTGCCTTTGAGTCAGCAGCCCAATTCCTTACTACTAGGACACCAGAGCTACCTACTTATTGTTGTTGTTATGTGTTGTCGACTTGACTACAACTCAATGACCCTATGAACAGTAGCCCTGAACCCTGCCCTATTTTGAGCAAATCTCACTGTCTGACACACTTGCCCCCAATGCCACAGTTACTGTGTCAATGCATCTTATCCAGAGTTTACCTCTCCTTCACTGACCCTCTACCATTCGAAACATGATGTACTTCTCCAAGGACTAGTCCCTTCAGGCCCAAAGTGTGTGAGATGGGGCTTCAAAATCCTTGCCTTAGAGGAGTTGGAACTGACTCACAGCTGACCCTCCAGTGAGTTTACAGAGGTAATAAATCACACAGGAATTGATTGTCTATCTTTCTGCTACAGAGCAGCCAGTGAATTTGAACTGTGTACCTTTGGGTTGGCATTGTAACTCCTTACCACTAAGCCACCATGTTGTGAGTACTTTCAAGTTGGAACTGACTCATCTGACCCTCCTGGAGGTTGGGAGGAGATTGCCCATCCTTCTCCCATGTAGCAGCCAGTAAATTTGAACCGTGTGTCTTTGGGCTTGCAGCACAACTTATTACCACTAGGCCAAAGACAGCATAACTTCCTCTAGTATGTAATAGTTATTCCTGTATATAGAGCTTTAATTTGAGGGATGACCTATTCTGATTCAGATCCAAGGGTGTGTGGGTCAACAGCTCTGAGATTGCCGAAATTAACCTTGATGTTGGGAATAACCAAAGGATGACTCGAAACTAAGAAGCTATGATTCTTCTCTTGGCATTGGGTCCTATTTATCTTGAGTCAAATCTAGACTAAATTCGGCTTTATATATGTGTGACTGACTGGCAGAGCTCTGAAAATCAGAACATAAACTGGCCTTAGAAGTTCCTTTCGTTGATCCCTTAGAAAGAAAACAATGCATTAGAATTTTGTAAATAAACTAGTATAAAATAAAAAAATAAATAAAGGTTTTAAACTCTCTGTAGCCTTGGGATTCTTCGGGTAACTGATCACCTAATACAAGGTATCCTAATCCTAAGGCTGGGTGAAGGGCAGAGAGGGTATAAAAAAAAAGATACACCAGGTGAAGTACAGGCACAGTGGGCCCTCAGCCCTCACTGTGCTGTACTTCCCCACTGTAGATCATGTTCTGCTGAGGAATTAAAGCTCTGTGGAGGGCAGAGCAGTGACTACTGCATGCTGGGGAGGGCTCAGTCGTAATTAAGGCTAATGGTAATAATAGGGGCTTCCGCTCAGCAAGTGGATTTCCCTAGGCAAGCAAGGCACTCTGATTTCCCTCACAAAACAGTATTTCAAATATAGGAGCTTTTAAGGAAGAGTGGTGGTTAGCTAATAAGAACAAATTGACAAATGATTTAAAGGTATTTCATTAATGAAAAAGGTTATTGAATATCTACATTAAAATATCATTAGCAGTTGAGCTTATCTAACACTTGCAGATAATTCTGGGTTTTCTTTGAGTATTCTTGGTTTCATGTAAGCCAAAGAATTATTTAAAAGTTCACATCAGTAATAGTGTTATAATTACATAGTTCTTTTCCTCTGTGGGTTCCTGGCTATTATTCTAACAGCTTCCCAAGAGGTTCTTTCCAGTTACAGGGGGAAAAAAGTATGCCTTTGAACCCAGGAGTTAAAAATTATACTTCAATTTTAATTAATGTCTCAGAAATGTAAAATGACAACCTTCCATATAATAGAATCCTTTACCAAAATCTTACCAAAATTCTTTCGACCATGTTTTCTCCAAAAACAAATTCAGAACTGCAGCTTTTAAAAGAGCTCTTATCTTCATTTATGTGGCATCTGAGAAAAACAAACAAACATTTGCTGCTATAAAAATATGGATAAACTTGAGTTCAGTCAGAGCAGGTGAAACAATCAAGAGAATTAGTAGACTTATGCAAAGTGCAAAAGAACAGTTGCTGCTAGTGTTGTTTATTTAAACCTAATGAGAAATGATGGGAGAATTGAGATAGGTACTTCCAGAAACACTTCCAAATGCTGTGGACAAGATAATGGAACAATGTGGCATCCTGAGCCTTCTCCACAAGCTCTGCTTTATGATGCCATTGTGGAAGCTTCTCTGTCAATCTATCTCGTTGAGCGCCATCCTCTTTTTTGCACTGACTCTCTCAATTACCAAAGTAACTTCCTTCTCCAGGCTTTGTTCTTTCCTGATAATATGTCAGAGTACCTATACTTGGACCAAGAGGCAGTCATCAGAACAGAGCAAGGAAAAATGCATGGTTCATAATTGTGAAGGGTATATGCCAGGCATGTGTCCTGTCTCCATACCTTTTCAATCTATATACAGAAGAGATAATCCAGGAGGCTGGGCCTTATGAGGAGAAATGTGGGGTCAGGATTGGTGGAAGATCTATCAACAATCTGCATTATGCAGATGACATAACCCTGCTGGCTGAAACTGAGGAGGACCCGAAGTGCTTGCTGCAGAGGGTCAAGGAATGCAGCTTTCAATATGGATTGAAGCACAATGTCAAGAAGACAGATTCTCACCACTGGACCAATTGGTAGCATCAGGATGGATGGTGAAGAGATTGAGATTGTTCACAGCTTTAGTTTGCTTGGCTCCACAGTCAACACTCTTGGCACCAGCAGTCAGGAAATTAAAAGGCGTATTGCGATGGGAAAGTCTGCTGTTAGGGGCCTCTCCAATGTACTGAAGGGCAATGGTGTCTCTCTGGAGACTAAGGTGCATCTGATACAGGCCATGGTCTTTGCAATTACTTGTTATGCATCAGAGAGTTGGACAATGACAAAGGAGGATATAAGGAGAATTGATGCCTTTGAGCTATGGTGCTGGAGAAGAGTGTTGAGGGTACCATGGACTGTTAAGAAAACAAACAGATTCATCCTTGAGAGGGTTAAACTGGGCTGCTCCTTGGAGACAAGGTTTCTGAGGCTTCATCTGACATACTTTGGACATGTTGCAAGACGAGATCAGACCTTGGAGAAGGACATCATGCTTGGGAGGGTGGAGGGACAGCGTGGGAGGGGAAGGCCCTCTATGAGGTGGATTGATTCAGTGACTGGGGTAATTGGGATGGGTGTATCAGAGACAGTGCAACAACAACCTGATATGAAGCCTTAACATCCTCACTTGTAAGGACCACTCTGACTATACATCTGCCAAGATCGATTTACCAGTTCTGATTTCTCCTTGCTGTAAAGTTGGGACAGACTCACAACCGACCCTCCAGCAGATTTTCTGAGGCCATTAATTGCATGGGAGGTGAGTGCTCATCTTTCTCCTGCAGAAGGATTTCTGGATTCGAACCACTAGGCTCCACTTTCGGGTTTACCTGTTTATTCTCCTAACAGTCCATGGTATATTTAACACTCTTCTCCAGCACCACAGCTCAAAGGCATCAATTTTCTTTCTATCATCCCTAGTTACTGTCCAACTCTCTGATGCATAGCATGTAATTGCGAAGACTATGGCCTGGATCAGGCACACCTTAGTCTCCAGTCTGATGTCATTGCTCTTCAGTACTCTTGAGAGGTCCCTCACTGCTGACTTTCCCAGTGCAATTCATCTCTTCATTTCCTGGCTGCTGGTACCAAGAGTGTTGAGTGTGGAGCCAAGTAAACTAAAACTGTTAACTATTTCAATTTTTCTTGTAGGCATGTGGATATTAGCCTATCATTAACAGCATTGTACTTCAAGATGTTCTTGTTGTTATGTGCTGTCCTATATATGTTATGTGTGCGACCCTATGTACAATAGCTCTGAACCTTGCTCAATCTGAGACAACCTTATAGTCTCTGGCACACTTACTCCAATTACCCCATCACTGAATCAATCCATCTCATTGAGGATGTTCCTTTTTTGTGCTATCTCTCAATATTCTTTTTTGAACATGAATGTGATACCATTCCTCTTTACCTTGTCATTTTTGGCATGTATACCATATAATTCTCTGATTCCAAATGACTAAGACCAGTCCATTTCAGATCATTAATGCCTAGGTATATAGATCGTTCTGGATTACATTTTATTTTTAATTACTTCCAATTTTTCTAGTTCCATACTTTGTACATTCTATGTTCTGATTATTAACAGATGTTTACATCTGTTTATTCTCATTTCATTATCAGTAAACGAAGATCTAGAAGCTTCACTCCACCCATGTTTAAGGCAAACTCTTCTTTGAAGAGGCAGCTCTCCCCCAGTTTTTGTTTATTATCTTCCAACTTGGATGGCTCTATATTAATTATGTCCCACTGCTAGTCATACAATTTTCACAGATCAATATTTTAGAAAAGATTGCTTAGCCCTTCGTCCTAGTCTTTCTTAGCCTGGAAGTTCTACTGAAACTTCTCCACTTTAAGTTATCCTGCTAATACTTGATATACTGCTACCCTCCAGTACCATAATTAGATGAAAGTCACCACAGTATGACAGCTTGACAAGTAAATGATGTGTAATGTCAATAAATTTTTTTATCTGAGTGGTTTTAATGATAAAACAATAATGAACAGACATTTCCTTTGCCTCATTAACATACCCTACTGACGCAGCACCTGAGAAATCCTGGTTCATTGACAGCGGAGCTGAAATTCTGGTACTTGAGGACTTTTCACTTAGCAAAATGGGAGTTCCCTCGGGAACCTGAAAGAAATCAATCAGAAAGTTTCATTAAGTTGTCCTCCTGTAGAGACATCAGATACGGAAATAATTGTTAAAGGTGATTGTCCTTATTTGCAGACTCTATATATGTGAATTTTCCTACTTGCAAAAATGTATTTGTGACTTCTAAATTAATACCCTAGAACTCTAATGATTCCCTTTCATAGACATGCTCAGAGCAGTGAAAAAGAATTTGAGTCACAGACCTTCCCAAGTGAGGTTGAGATGGTGACACTGCCTTATTGTTTTATCTTTCATACAAAGAGCACTAAAAGAACTCTTCTTTAGTGTATAAATTTTCCCATTTTTGTACTTAGAAGCTGACATGTATGTTGTTGTTGTTGTTGTTATGTGCCATCGAGTTGCTTGCAACTCATAGTGACCCTATGTACAACATCCCTAAACTCTGCTCTGTCCTGTGCCAATTGCACCATCTCCGACACACCCATCCCAATTACCCCAGTCACTGAATCAATCCACCTCATAGGGGACCTTGCCCTTCTGCACTGTCCCTCTACCCTACCAAGCATGATGTCCCTCTCCAAGGACCTGTCCCTCCTTAAAACGTGTCCAAAGTATGTTAGACGGAGCCTCAGAATCCTTCCCTCCAAGGAGCAGCCTGGTTTGACCCTTTCCAAGATGAATCTGTTTGTTCTCCTAGCAGTCCATGGTACCCTCAATACTCTTCTCCAGCACCACAGCTCAAAGGCGTCAAAGACATGTATGTAATATGTATTAATATATCAACATTGTATCAAGGAAATTTAGAAACGGAATGAACTTTATGAACTGTATGCTTCCATGTTCCCAGTGTTTGTGAACACCTCCTGGCCCCCATCAAGGATTTGCAAAGATGTTCCTAGGGGCAGGGATTAATGTCTTTAAAGCTAAATGGGGTTAGAGTCCACAACTTTTGTATCAGTCAATACAAATGATTTGTAATAATTTTCCCTTTACAACAGTGCTTTGAGAGCTGACAAAGATGTATCAAACGATTATATGTAAATTTTTCTATCAGCAAAGGAGAGGAAGACCCTTAACCAGGTCAACTGACACAGTCATTGCTGCAATGGGCTCTAATGTGTCAGGAAGTATGAGGATGACACAGGATAGGACAATGTTCAGATTTGTTATTCATAAGGTCTCTATGGGTCAAACTCAACTTGACAGCACCTAACAATCACAACAACATTATCAATAGACAAAAAAATTTATCAAAATAGATGAATTGATACATAAAGTATGATCTTTACAGAAAATGGAGTATTATTCAGATATGGAGTTCTAATGCATACTAACACTTGGATAAATACTATGAAATATTGAAAATATTATACTAAGTTAAATATGGAAGGTACAAAAGTACAAATATGGTATGATACTGCATATGTGAACTGTCTAGAACAGGCAGATACATCCAGACAAAAGATTAGACAGTGAACAATAGGAATTTTTAACTGTTGGGATTCTAAGTTTGCATTTGGGTTAATAGAAATTGTTTGAGATTGGATAGTGGAAATGACAGCACAGCATGGAAAAAAAATGAATGCCATTGAATTTCACAATTAAGAACATATATGTCAAATGGATGCCTGTCATGGTTACCAAAGTTTTTTACTCAGTCTTCAAATGGTTTGCTTTTCAGTCTGAGTGGGGGTTCTTAATCTTCTTTTGGCATCAGACTTTTTAGAAAAAAAATGTATATTGTTTTGCTCACAGAGTTTGTATACATTGTGTTTTACACTATTCTTCATTCATGTTGGTGAAGGAAATGGGAATGATCCAGTGGCGACCTGAAAAGATTGGGTGATGATGGTGACTGATTTTATAAAACATAATGCATGGAAGTTCTTACTCTTACATTCAATGAACTAGCTTCTATTAAGCATCTGATGTTTAAGCTATATACAATCACTGATGATTAATTAATGGAGTAATTAATGGATTAATGACAGGATGAGTAAAAATAAATTTCATTTCAATGAGTTAATAAAAAACATTAACAATGGTTCTACAACATTTCTCTAGGAATAATTTTAATCAGATCTATAAATTATTTCCATTTGGTCAAAATTCTGGCACAGCATCTTATATATACCTGCCAAAAGGAGATATAATATACGAAAAAAACTCATTACTAAACAGAAAATTCAATGGCGTGCATTTCACTAATTGAGAATAAAGACTATTATAAATTATTAAATGACAACCTGAAATTTTGTCTCTTAAATCATAAGAAGGTTGAGTGTCTTGTGCAAAGATCCAGATACAGGGAGCTAATGTTAAAAGTAGGATTTTTAAAAAATGTTTTTCCTTCAGTGAATTGAATATTTTATATTTCCACGTGTCAGTGTCTTTATGTTTGGTTTCAGAAAACCAAACAAGACTATATACCAACCCTGAAGAGTTTCTTCTTGTTGTTAGGTGCCTTCAAGGCAAGTATGACTCATAGCGACCATATGAACAACAGACCTGAACTCTGTCCTATCCTGTCCTGTGTCATCCTCATTATCTCTGACTCCCTTGAGTCCATTGCTATAGTGACTGAGTAAATTTGTTCTGTTGAAGTCTTCATCTCTTTCACTAACTCTCCACTTTTCCAAGGATGATGTCTTTTTTCATGCTTAGAGTATGTGAGACAAAGGTTTGTCATCCTTGCCTCCAGTGACCACTCTAGTTGCACTTTCCCCAAGACATATTGGTTTGTTCTCTTGGCAGTCCATGAGATATTCAATACTCTTCTCCAACAACATAACTCAAAGGCACCAATTCTCCTTCTGTCATCCTTATTCATTGCCTGGCTCTCAGATGCATAGCAAGTGATTGAAAGATCATGGCCCAAATCAGGCACACTTTAATCTTCAAACTGGTATCATTGCTCCTCAGAAATTTGGAGAGATCTCTGACAGTGGACTTGCCTGTTGCAATTTGTTTCATTAACTCTTGATTGTTGGTACCAAAGGCATTGATTATGGATCCAAGTAATATGAAATTGTTGACAATTTCAGTGTTTTCTCCATCTATTGGTACAGCGGCAAGGATTTTTGTCTTCTTGATTTTGAGATGCAGTCCATTTTGAAGACTGTAGTCTTTGGTCTTCTGCATTGAGTACTTCAATTTCTCCTCACTTTCAACAAGCAAGGTTGTGTCATCTGCATAATACAAGTTGTTGATTAATTTCTTTCCATCCTCACACTTCATTCTTCTTCCAGCTTCTTGAATTATTTGCTTAGCATACATTTGGAATAGGTATGGGAAAAGGATATAATCCTGATACATACTTTTCCTTATTTTAAACCAGGCTGTATTCCCTTGCTGTGCTTGGACAACAGTTTCTTAGTCTAATTATAGGTTTTGCATGAGCATAATTAAGTGCTCTGGGATTCCCATTCTTCTCAATGTGAGCCATAGTTTGTTAAGATTCACACAATCAAATCCCTTTGCATAGTCAATAAAACATAAGTAGATATTCTTCTAATAGTTTCTACTTTCACTCCCGATCCATCTGACATAAGCAACGGTATTGCCTTAAGGAAAAGTATTGCTATTCCTTTTTCTAAACCTAGCTTGAACTTCTGGCCATTTTCTGTTGATGTGCTATTCCAGTAATTTTTGGATGATCTTCTGCAATATTTTACTTGTATATTATGCTGTTTGTTGTCATGTGCCATCTAGTCGCTTGCAACTCATAGTGACCCTATGTATAAGAGCTCTAAACGCTGTTCTATTCTGTGCCAACCTAGTCATCTCAAACACACTCATTCCCACCACAGTCACAGAATCGATCCATCTCATCAAGGGTCTTCCTCTCCTGCGCCGCCCCTCCACTCTGCCAAACATGATGTCCCTCTCCAAGGACCAATCCCTCCTTGCAACATGCCCAAAGTATTTCAGATGAAGCTTCAGAATCCTTGACTCCAAGGAGCATTCCGGCTTCACCTTCTCCAGGACAAACCTGTTTGTTCTCCTAACAGTCCATGCTATATTCAACACTCTTCTCCAGCACCACAGCTCAAAGTCATCTATTCTCTTTCCATCATCCCTGTTCACTGTCCAATTCTCTGATGCATAGCATGTAATTGCGAAGACTATAGCCCGGACCAGGCGCACCTTAGTCTCCAGCCTGACATTGTTGCTCTTCAGTACTCTTGAGAGGTCCCTCACAGCTGACTTTCCCAATGCAATTCATCACTTGAGTTCCTGGCTGCTATTACCAAGAGTGTTGACTGTGGAGCCAAGTAAACTAAAAGTGTTAACAATCTCAATCTCTTTACCATCCATACTGATGCTGCCAATTGGTCCAGTGGTGAGAATCTTTGTTTTCTTGATGTTGAGCTTTATTCAATAATTACCATATTCTGTTGGATTACCTTTTAGGGGACTGGGAACAAAGAAGGATCTCTTTGAGTCAGTCAGCCAAGTGGCTGTCCTCCAAATTTTCTGGCTAGGCTAGTGAGCACATCCAGGGCTGCATTTGTGAGTTGAAACATGTCAATTGGTATCCCATCAATTCTTGGGGCCTTAATCTTTGCCAATGCTTTCAATGCAGCTTGAACTTCTTCCTTCATTACCACTGGCTCTTGTTAGTATGATACTTCTTGAAATTTTACAGTGTTAACAAATTATTTTCTGCATAGTGGTTCTGTGTATTCCTTCTATCTTCTTCTGATACATTCTGGATCATTCAAGATTTTGCTTATATCATCTCTCATTATTGCAACCCAAAGCTTGATTTTTTCCCCCCAGTTCTTTCAGTTGAGAAATATTGAATGTGTACTTCACTTCTTATTCTCCAGTACCAGCTCTCAGCACATTCCATTCTAATATTTTGCTTTGTCTTCTCAAGCTGTCCTTTGAAATCTTTAGTTCATCTCTTTGACTTTAGTGTTTTCCCCCTTTGTTTTGTCTTCTAGACACTATATTGCAATTTTTAGTCTATTTTGACCTCCATTTTTGTTTTTTCCTTCTTCGCTGTCTTTGTAATGACAACATACTACTTTTTTCATGGATGATATCTCTGATGTAATAGTATAGCTTCTCTGGTCATCGATCATTAGTGTTCAATGCCTCAAAACTGTTTTTTATGAGATCCGACACTTTCAGGATGGTATGTCCATAAACCCAAACCTATTCTTGAGATAATTTTTAACTTCAGGTGGGATAGACTCAAGGTCATATTTTGATTCTTGTGGAATTTTAAAGTTTTTCTTCAGCTTCAATTTGAACTTGCACATGAGTAACTGATGGTCTGTTCCACAGTCAGCACCTGACCTGGTTTTGACTACTGATAAGGAGCTTCTCCAATGATTCTTTTCACAGATGATGTTGTTAGGTGCTGTCGATTTAAGTACAACCTATAGCGACCCTATGAACAACAGATCTGAAACCTACCTTATCCTCACACTTCCTGGCACATTAGAGCCCGTTGCAGTAGTCACTGTGTCAATCTGCCTGGTCGAGGGTCTTCCTCTCCTATGTTGACCCTCTACCTTTCCAAGAATCATGTCCCTCTCTAAGTAATAGCCTTTCCTAGGAATATTCCAGAAGTATGTGAGGCGAAACCTCACCATTTTTGCCTCCAAAGAGCACTGTGCTGCACTCCCTCCAAGGCATATTTATTCTTTTGGCCATGCATACGGTGTTCGGTGCTCTTCTCCAACATCACAGCTCAAAGGCACCAATTCTTCTTTCATCCTTTTTCATTATCCAACTCTTAGATACATAGCATGTGATTGGAAAACCATGGCGTGAATCAGACACACCTTAGTCCTCAAACTGATATCATTACTCCTCAATAATTTAGAGAGGTGCCTAACTACAGACTTTTCCAGAACAATGCATTTCCATATTTCTGGACTCCTGGCACCAAGAATGTTAATTGTAGATCCAAAAAAGCAAAGCTTTTAGTCTTTTCTGTAACCATCATGACACTGCCTATCAGTCCAGTGGTAAGAATCTTTGTTTTCTTGACATTGAGGTGCAATCCATATTGAAAGGTGTATTCTTTGACCTTCTGCAACAAGTTCTTCAAGTCCTCCTCATTATAGCAAGCAAGGTTGTGTCATCCACATAATGCAGGTTATTGATGAATTTCCCACTGATCCTGATGCCACATTCCTCTTCATAGAGTCCTGCCTCTCATATAATTTTCTCAGCATACAGATTGAATAGGTAATACAGATTGAATAGATATGGAGAGAGAATACAACCCTGGCACACTCCTTTCTTAATTTTAAACCATATAGTGTTCTCTTCCTGTATTTGTACAACAGCTTCCAGGTCTGGGTATAGGTTTCGCATGAGCAAAATTAAGTGCTCTCGGATTCCCATTCTTCTCAGTGTTAGTCATAACTTGTTATAATCCACACAGTCAAAAAGTCTTAGTCAATAAATAGACATTCTTCTGGTATTTTTTACTTTCAGCCTAGCTCAGCAATGCTCTCTCTGGTGCTACCTAAATCCTGCTTGTACTTCTGGAAGTTCCCTATCTATGTACTTATTGTGCTAGCAAGTTTTGAATGATTTTCAGCAGTATTTTGCTTGCATGTGATATTAATGATACTGTTGTAAATTTCACAAGTATAGTTAACGTGATCCTCCTGCAGTCAATCAGATGAGGTCCTTGTATACAATTTCCTCATTGCTTGCTATGCATCAGAGAGCTGGACAATGACTAAGGATGACAGAAGAGGAATCTATGGCTTTGAAATGTGGTGCTGGAGGAATCTTGAACGTATCATGGACTGCCAAGAAAACAAATAGGTCTGACTTAGAGAGAGTGAAACCAAGTATGTCCTTGGAGACTAGGATTTTGAAGCTCCGTTAGAGACTCGTCCTGGGAGAAGGACATCATGCTTGGAAGGATGACAGATGGACAGTGCAGGAGAGAAGATCCCGGATGAGATGGATACAGTAACTGGGGCAATGAGGGTTAGTGTGTCAGAATTAGTGAGACCAGCTCAGGACAGGGCAGGGTTCAGAGCTGCTGTACATAGGGTCACTATGGGTCACAGGCGACTTGATGGCACATAACAACAATAGCAATTGCTTTTAAAACTATTTCAAAATACTGTTAAATTATTTTCAATAGCTTAACTGGAAATAAATGCCTGATGGAGTAATTACTCTCAAATTTAAACCTGCCCGTATGGGTTCCTTCCTTCTAAAGGGTCTTGTCCAGAAGCCACGGCTATCATATTCCTAAACTCATAAGTGCAGGATCTAACTAAAATAAACATCTCTTTAGAAAGACAGCCCACTAAACTATTCAGCCACTACCATGGTTGGAAGAGAGTTCTTCTAAGTTGCCAGAGGCATGCCAAGTCCTCCTAATTGCACAGTTTAGGTAGTTCCTGGGCCTGCTCTCTGTGAAGATGAGTGTAGAGTAAATAAACTGGCACAATGATGCTCTGACATAAATCTGTTGGGGATGCAGCACGTCACTCTCCCATTTTTAGCTATTTCTGTAGCTCCTCCTATTGTCAAGTGGGTTAATTCTGGGATATGGACCTCATGATAACCTAGGAAAAGACAGATGCGCGATTAGGGAGCGGATGTGTCAAATGCGAGAATGGTTATGCGTGGTGGACGGTGCTGGGTGGAGCTTTCTGATTAAAACAGGTTTGGAAGCAGGAATGTCATCCACTTCCAAAATGGTTTGCCTCCAGAAACGCTATGAACATGGAGAAACAATGAAAGCTATATAAGTGTCCAGGTCTTTAGTTTGTAGGATTGCTATGAGTCGTCTAAGACTCGACAGCACTTAACAACAATAACAACAACAACATAGAGAGAGCTCTGTTGGCCTCACGGATAGAAAGTGATGCTACCAAGCCAAAGGTGGGGGATTTTTATCTGTGGCCTTCAGGCCTGGTGTCTCTCTGGAGACTAAGGTGCGTCTGATACAGGCCATGGTCTTCGCAATCACCTGTTATGCATCAGAGAGTTGGACAATGACCAAGGAGGATAGAAGGAGAATTGATGCTTTTGAGCTGTGGTGCTGTTGAGAATACCATGGACTGCTAAGAAAACAAACAGATTTGTCCTGGAGAGGGTTAAACTGGGTGGCTCCTTGGAGGCAAGGATTCTGAGGCTCCGTCTAACTTACTTTGGACATGTTGTGAGGAGAGACCGGTCCTTAGAGAGGGACATCATGCTTGGGAGGGTGGAGGGACGGCGCAGGAGAGGAAGACCCTCTATGAGGTGGATTGATTCAGTGACTGGGATAATTGGGATGGGAGTGTCAGAGACAGTGCGACTGGCACAGGACAGAGCAGAGTTTAGGGCTGTTGTACATAGGGTCGCTATGAGTCGCAGGTGACTCGACGGCACATAACAACAACAACAACATTATATGAAAACCCTTGTTCAGGAATTGAAGGAATTACAGATTTATAAGTTAGGATTTATCTTGTGGCAGATCCTAGAAAATGAGCTGTTTGTTCCCTGCAAGACAGGAGACAGCAAGGGCCCCCCTACAGAGGGAGTGTTACTTCCTGAGCTAGAGTTCACCCTGTGGCATCAAGGTTAATAGTTAAGGGTAAACCAAATTCTTGCATTTGTGAACCCCTCCTTCCTGAGTCAAGCAGGAGGTTTTCAATAGAAAGAGCTTGGCTTCATTTGCATTGAATTCTCTTTGCGATTTACTTCCTGATAATTTTCAATAAAGACACAGAGAAGCTTGGTTTGGGGTCTTCAGTGGAGAACTGCTGGCCCCCTGTTTTAAGCTCTCTGCTCGATCACATTCCTGGCTATTTGTCTCTTTATTAATAATTATAAAATTATTCCATACCCATGGACAGTGTTTGGTGGAGCTCCCTGATTAAAACAAGCTTGGAAGCAGGAGTGGCATCCACTTCCAAAATGGCTTGTCTCCAGAAACTCTAAGAACGTGGAGAAACAATGAAAGTTATAATGTGTTCAGGTGTTTAGTTTGTAGGGTTGCTACGAGTCATCTATAAATTGATGGCACTTAATAACAGCAACAACAACAGTGGAAGCTAGGATTTTGAAGCTCCTCCTCACTTACTTTTGGCACATGGCCAGGAGAGATCCGTCCTTGGTTAAGGACATCATGCTCAAAAGGGTGGATGTACAGCCCACAAGGAGAGGAAGACCCTGGATGAGGTGGATTGATACAGTGACTGGGGTAATGGGGGTTGGTGTGTCAGAATTAGTGAGACTGGTTCAGGACAGGGTAGGATTCAGAGCTGCTGTATTTAGGGTTGCTATACATGGCAGACGTCTCAATGGTACATAACAACAATAATATACTATGACAGGTTTGGAAGCAGGAGTAGCATCCATTTCCTAAACAGCATGCCTCCAGAAACTCTATGAACTATGATAAATGTCGATTGTTGTAGAGGGACTTCAGGCCTTTTGTTCATAGGGTTGCCAAGTTGTGCTCAACTTGAAGGCAATCAACAAGAACAATAGCAGTGGTAAGGAGTTGCTCTGCCAACCCAAAGACATGAGGTTCAAATCCACCAATTCCTCTGTAGGAGAAAGACAGACAATCTCCTCTTGTGCAATTTACAGGCTCTAAGCATCCACTGAGCTGATTCAAGCCTGATGACACATAACAACAACAGGCCAAAGGAGGTTTTCTGTCCTAATTGTTTGCTCTTCTTTAGTCATGCAGATTTTCAATCTGTTGCATTCAAGCTTTTATCTTACTTTTTCCCATCTTTGGACTTGAGGGGGTTGCAAAATGGCAGGTCTCAGAATATGCTGCAAATGTTTCACAGGACCTTAAAAGAACAACACAAAAGGGTCAATATTTCTAAGTGAAATAATTCCTACGCTCTACATTTTCTTGTGTAATATTTTATGTAAATAAAATGAAAGACTAATATAACCAAGCCAGTGAACCATCTATTCTTCTATAATGCTAACTTTTATCTAACAACTCACTCATTTTGACTATGGGACTAAGATTACAAAATATATATATCTATCTATATATCTATATATCTATCTATATATCTATCTATCATCTATCTATCTATCTATCTATCTATCTATCTATCTATCTATCTATCTATCTATCATCTATCTATCTATCATCTATCTACCTATCTATCATCATCTATATATATATCTTCATAAGCATGCACTCCACTTTCACATCCTCAATACTCATAAACACAGAATAAACTGTTGGCAGAAAATCTTCTTGAGACTGTTAAAATATAAAGAAGGTACATACCTTGTTCTGTATTGCTTGTGTGGCTAGTGTTTTGCACAACTGTTGATGACATGAAAAGACTGTTTTTCTTAGCTGTTAAGGAAAAATGTTTATAAAGGTTTGTTGCCATTTTCAGTATAGGTTTAACAGTCCTGTTCTTAGTTTACCAGTAGGTGTCGCTTTTGGAACTAACACAGAATGCTCATTAGGGCTCTGGCTGTTAAAATGCCTGATTACTAGAAGATTTTTGCTGCATAGCTCTGTTTACTTTGAGAAATAGAAATAATAATAAAGCCGATGCTCTGGATAAAGATGGGCCGTTTGTTTCCTGTTAAGATTTACAGCCTGGGCAACACTGCAGAGGGTTCCGAAGAGAATCAATTCACAGGCAGTAGGATTCAAAGCAGGAGTGACATCCACTTCCTAAACAACATGCCACTGGAAACTATGAACTTTGAGAAATGACAATAGTTATAGAAAGTCTTCAGGTCTTTTGTTTATAGGATCCCTATGAGTTGTGCTCAACTTGACGGCAGTCAACAACAAGAACAACCACCACCACAATAAAAGTCGGTGCACTTTAGAATCATGAAAGCAATTCTACAGATTAGAAATCTGAATTGATGATCAACCTTCTGTGTGCACAAATTTGTTTTGTATAGGATGTTGTAACACTGTTAAGTCTCCCTTCCCCACCCTCCATCCCTTAATTCATAAACTTGAAAGTGAATATTTTATAAGGTTATTTTTCTATGACGTATAGGTGGAAGTAGAGAATTTCTACACATTTCAAATGGATTGGCTCTTGACTACAAATTGCAGAAACAGCTACCTTTTGGTAATCAGTTGTCAGGTGCTGTCGAGTGACTACTCATAGCAACCCTATGAACAGATAGGAAACCTGCCCTTTCGTGGCCATCCTCACAATCGCTATCAAGCTCGAGCCCAAATGAGGAAAAAGAATTGCCTCTACTTTTTTAAAAATTATTAATTTTAATGAAATTTACAGAGCCTTTGTATTTCCATTCATTCATTGTTGCACTTTTCTCCCTGCCACCACTTCCCCCAGTACACTCTTCTCTTTGAAAAGTAAAATAAAAGTTCCCCCATTGTTTTACAGTCCCTCCCCTCCCAGGTCTACACCTCTATGCAGCCTTCGCTCTGGACTCCTGTCATGATAATAATACCTGATCACATAGCCCTTTTAAACAGTTTTCTCCCTCATCTGTTTCAATGCAGTATACATTATTTATCCCATCTTTCTCAGTCTCCCCCCAAACCTGATGTCAGTCCTGTTTTACAACAGTGGAACTAGGCAGTATTTGTCCTTTTGTGACTGAAATATTTAACTCAGCATTATGTCCTCCAGGGTCACCCATTTTTGAATAATATTTCATGAGTTCCTTGCTTTTCAATACAGCATAGTAATTCATTATGTGAATATACCACAGCTTCTCTATCCATTTGTTTTTTTTCTTTCAACTTCTTTATTAGGATGGTTGCATTAAAGCTATACATTCTCATACTGACAGTTCTTGTCATGAACAAAAGCAACAAAAATAATGCAGTAGCCAAGCTATGCTTCACATAAAACAATCATATTGCAAGAATAGGAGATCTGGATCCCTATACAACAAAAAGATCAGGAGGCAAAAATGTGAATGAGTCCTGCACTCAAAAT